CTGAAGGGGGATGCAGTGTACTGGGTGATGCCAGACATCGTCACAAAGGTTGGTCTACATATCTTCTGAAACCATGGCACAATCACATGTGCTCATAGACTAGGACTGATCTGTGCTTCAAGCATATCGTGGTGTCAGCACAGTGGACCTTCGTGGCTGATAAGAGAGACCCTTTTAATTGCGCAGACACACTGATACGCAATTACCATGGCCTGAGTAAAAATAACAGCGACATGAGCACGGGAAATGAAATATATATGTTAGACTGCGGGGGTAAACATTCACAAAATGAACAATTAGTTGTGCTCTGTGCCGGGAGTGGGTGTAACGGTGCGGAGAAAATGCTCGGACGAAAAGAAGCAAAGTTCTCGTAAGTCCACTTACCATGGGGTGACAGGTCAACACAAGCAAGGTACCAATGATACAAAAGAGCTATACAAAAAAAAAATGACATCATCTAAATAAGACAAAGCAAACACATCCTTTAGGCCTGCTTTAAATTTGTCAATCAGGCGTTGAAAAGTTGCGCGCGCATTTCGTAATCCGAAAGACATGCGCAAATATTTATATGTCCCAAATAAGCAAATGAAAGCTGTTTTATCTTGATCAGCTTCATGCAATTTGACCTGATGATACCCTGATTTACGATCAATGGTTGACATATAGGCCGTTGACCGCTTCTATGAGAAGAGCGTTCATGCGTGGGTAAAGGGTACGTGTCTGCAATAGCAGTGGCATTTAATTTGCGATAGTCGACGCAAAGTCTTATGCTACCATTCGGTTCAGGAACCCAAACAACAGGACTGGCATACGGAGATTCACATTCTTCGATTATACTATTAGCCAGGAGAGAAACTAATTCTTTTTTCAGCAACTCTCTTTTTGCAGGACTCATTCTGTAAGGAGGTTCTGCAACTGGTGGACTATTTCCAGTATTAATTGGTGGACTATTTCCAGTTCACTATATGGGGTTGGGTCTCCCTCTGGCTCCTCGAAGCAACTCTTGAATTCTTGCAGTAAAATATTTAGTTGAATACGTTGTTCTACACTTAGACGTTTGCCTTCGTCGCTTCGAAGATTTACTGAAGAAGATGTTTCGAAAACTTTAACTGAATTGGTAATTTCTACAGTCCTTGTCTGAGAGTCAGAAACGGATGTACAACTTTCAGCCTTGGAAATCACCTTGTAAAAAGGATATTGGACATGAGGATTTTCACAGAAATGCCAAGTACCGTTCAGGACATCTAAGACAATTCCAGCAGAATGAAGAAAGTTTGTGCCTAATAGTGTTCTGTTTCCTTTTGCTTCAGGCAAAACAATTAGTTCTGTAGGTACCCCTTTACCTTCAACATTAAGATCGACAACTGTAGTCAAGGCAGCTACGTTGCTCTGTGTTTCATCAGCGAGCGTCAAAGAAATACGTTTGGGTTTAAACCTTACTTTGTTCTTTTGCAGCATATGGTATAACTTTTCTCCAGCAACAGTGTGATGCACCGGTAATCAGCACATACAGCAGCTTTCACTCCACAAATTTTAAGGACAATTAAATTGGATGGAGCTGTAGGTGATTCGAACGTAAACAAATTGACACTATTTAAAGACACTTTTGCTTCTACTTTAGATCTTGAGCAGATAGGACATTTAGATTGTATGTATTCAGGAGTTCCGCACCCATAACATCGGATGGTACTTTTCTCTACTGAAGCGTTCGTGTTCTTGCAAACTATATTTCCTATTGTTTTATCGTGTCTGGCTTCTCTAGCTATCGCAGTGGACTTCGATTTTCTATCTGATATCGGGAAACCACTTTTAAAATTTCATTTGTTAGATGGCGCTGAAGCTTTCTTTAATCCATGACGAATATTTTCATACGCATCCAACTTCTCTGCTAATTCCAAAGGTTGGTTCCATTTTTCCCACTTATCCATGAAATGTTCTGTCAGAGCTGATCAAAATCTTTAATGTTTTGTTATCCATTCTTCAAAGTATGATCTTATTTCAAAATAGATATCTCAAGCTGTATCTGGGCTTTCATTATTTATTTAAAAAAAAAAAAAAAAAAAAAAAAAACTGTCTGAAACGGTCAGCAGTTAACCTGTCTCGCTTAAGAAGCATTTCCTTAATTTTAGGGTAATTTTGAGATTCTTTCTGATCTTCTCTAGCAATAAGCTGTGCTATTTCTGTTGGCAATGAACTGATCAGATAAAAAACCCATTTTGATTCTGGAACACTTAAAAGTTTCAATTGACGTTCAAAAATTGTCAAATACAATCGAATTTCGTCTGACAACTCTAGTAATATCAATTTTGAGTTTATCTATTCCTTCATCTAACACTTCCTTTTGAGAAATTTTCTGCAACTCTAGCCGAAGTTTTAATTTTTCCAACTCGAACAGACGCTCCTTCTCAATTCGTTGATCTTTAGCAGCTTTTTGTTCACGCAAACGTTTTTCGGCTGCTTGTTCTCCACGCAAAAGATTTTCTTTTTCAGCTAACGCTAACCTCTCATTTTCAGCTGCTCGTTCAGCCATTTTTCTTTCATCAGTTATGCCGGTCAATAGATTCTTCACGAATCCCTCTTTATATCTGTCTGAGTTCGTAATTAATTTTTTGAGTTGAATCACTTTCATATTATCTGAGACGGGCAGACCCAGTTCTGTGGCTAAGACTTGCAGGTCCTTTTTCCTGGCTAGTCCCCAAAAATGCCATATTATCGTACTTTCAATGTCCGTCGAAAAGTTCCATATTTGTTCGAAGATAAGTTATATGTTCATAAATGTTATCAATTTCTTAATTACCCTGACAATTAATTACATAACATTTAAAAAACATCACCGAACAATTCATCTGAGATTACTTCGAAAACGAAACTACCATTTAAGAAGGATTATTACACTTGCTAATAGACAAAAAAATGCATAAATTTAGTAAACATAAAAATCCCAAATATAGAATTTAACTTTGATAAATCTTCTATTAGTTACGGCTGTGATGTCTAGAAAATCCTAAATGCTCTAAGAAATTAATTTCGACTAGAGTTCTCTTTGAAAAAACAATTAGATGCGCAAGTTTTTCTCAAATATTACAAAATAATAAATTAAAATTTTTATAAACTCACAATTAGAAAATGTAAGTTTTAGAATGCCCTTTCAGAATAACGGTAAATATTACATTAAGTCAAAAGAAGTATTCTTATTGCATAAAAACAAAACATTAGTGGCACAGTTTAAATAATATACTACATAAAACCCTTTTCACTTTTAAATCATTTTTATTCTTAAAGAGGATACGAAAATATCTGTTAATTCATTAAATAAAATAGAACAAACCATACAACTCATTCACTGATAGCAATACAGTTATAAAAATACTAAAAGAATAATCCACACCAGAAACATTTATCAATCAGAATAAAAATAACATTTTGTTACCTAAATACTTTTCGTTCAGAACCGAAACGAAATTTTACTTGTGTTGACTTGCAATGAAAACAAAATTAATCTTAATTTAGAACATAGAATTAAAACACAGGAAATTCAAATAAAAATCAATTATTTAAACAATGTAAATTCTTAAAGTGCAATATAATAAGAGACAACATAAATTCTTAAAGTGCAACCTAGATAAAAAGAAGTACCTAGAGCTTACATATACTTTATATATTATTCTGTTTCATTTTCAACGACACATTTTATTCCATATTATTAAAGTATTAATGACGTTATAGTTAGAATTTTATATTGCTTATTAAGTGAAAATCTGTTATCTTATTAAGTTAAATGTTGATTAAGTGAAAATATCTTATCTGGTATCTTCAGGTGAAGATGAAACCATGCAATGTCCAAAATAACCTAATAGGGAGAAGATAAAAAAACAATAATTCGTCGTGCAGTTTCCAAATAATCTTCACTGGTGGAAGCAGTATACCTAAAACCTGGAAAAGAATATGAGTCGATGTCCTGGAATCTCAAACATGGTTTTTTCTCAACTGGATAAATCATTCGAGCCGCACATTGGGTAACCAACTATAACCAAAACTAATATAAACAAAGACTCACTTGGCCTTTTAAAATAGTTTTAATTAACAAAACACAATTAAGATAAAACATTAGAATTAAAGGCATTATGATTACACACTTAAGTTACAAAGTAAATCTCGCGGAAACAGCATTTATTGAGTCCAGCACATCCACTGACTGCTATAGTCTCTTTTTTGGCTGGTGTTTGGTCCCGGCGCCTACAAAGTAAATCTCGTGGAAACAGCATTTATTGAGTCCAGCACATCCACTGACTGCTATAGTCTCTTTTTTGGCTGGTGTTTGGTCCCGGCGGCCGCTAGGTGGCGCTCGTTGAGCCGTGGGGTTACATTATGTATTATTTTTAAGAAATAATACAGTGAATATAAAAAGAAATTTAAGTTAATAATCTACCAGGACTTCTAAAGAGATGCTACTTTTAGAAATTCTGAAATTAATAAGAAATTTTATTTGTAAATCTGAAACACTATATGACCAGAGGATATACTCCAGTCAATGTGATATTTTCAAATAAAAGCATGAGAACTGACATATGAGAGCAGCACATACAGTCACCTGTATGGAGAACAGAATAATGAAAAACTGAGTAGTGCTTATAAACAAATCAGATTTTTATCATCAGTTTACGAAAGCTCATTGCTATTGCTCATTGCATTACGAAAGCTCATTGCTATTTCTTAAAAATGGGATATAGCTGCAGATGGTATAAAAACATCTAATTCTGTTTGCATTGCAACACATAATCCTATCTGTTCTGGAAGATATGGCTTTGAATAATTTATTATCTACAGAGAATATGATGAAGCCCTGCACTAGCCAAATTCAATTACAGCAAATGTCATATAGATGACTTTTCTGAGAATGTTTTGAATAGAGGAATATATATATATATAAATCATTGATATAAGTTTTATTTAAGAAAATAAATACTGATATACATATAAAATAATACAGACACCAAAGGTAAATTTAAAAAAAAGTATTTTATTCTATACAGTTTACATCTGCATTCATAACACATTTTACATTGTCCAAAGTACAACACCGGGACAGAAAAATCACACTATTAGTTATACATAATCTTAGGAATAATCAGAAATGATTTAATAGATAAAGTATAAAAACTTCTAGATTTCAAAACTTAAACAATAAGTTCTGTGTATGTAGAAATGTAGCACAGATGTTTTAATAACATAATAAAATGAGAACAACAGGTAATTTTGTAACATTAGGAAAATATGTGAATAAATAAAGATTTAAAATTAAATGTTTTAAATTACATCTACATGAAAACACATATGATATAAATTTTTCAAAACTATCACACTAATAAACCCAATAATTTTATTATTGATAGCCTATAAAGAAATGATAAATACCCTAAGTTCCCTTTTTTTATTTATTTATCTATAACACATTAAAGCAAAAATGATCTTTCAAAGTTGGAGACAAGTTAAACATATGACAATTAGCAGTTCTGGTCTTCATTTAGGTCAGAAGAATATAACAAAATAACAAGTTTATAAATAAACAAATAATATATACTGAATATCTCAGGATATAAATTTTAGAGCATATATTGTGTTTTTCACTTATGAGAGTTTAAAAATTCTCATAATTAAAAAATGAACAAATGTTTCTAAAAAAGAAGCAGATGAATAAACCAAACAACAAAATAATAAATCTTACAATAAGAACTGTACGATGGAAAAGGAAATACATTAAAAAACACAGAAAACATGGTACTTTTCTGTTAACTGTCAGTCACCATATTTATGCCAAAGCAACCAAATATGGTGGTCTAGTTATATGGCATCATGAACAGCTGTGCACTGACATCATTTTAGAGAGCTTGAACATCAATCCAAAATTTCCTCTCAAAATTTTTTAGTTGCTTAAGCAGATAAATTGGCAGCTGGCAGATATGAAAACCAGCAAGTTTACCATAAATTCAACGTTAATGATCCTGATACAGGATGCCATGTAACATTAACATGGGCACCAACATTGTCAACCTACCTTGTCAAATTAATATGGAAGTAATTGCATGAAATGATGAAAATGCTTTCAGTAATGTTGAATGAAGTAACCTGAAATTAACTAGGTAAAATCTATTCTGTATATTTGCATTTGTCTTTATTTTTTGTATTTATGCTGGATTTAATAAAACAGTCATTGCTTTTATAAGGCTTTATGCATTAGGGTTGCCACCACCTAGGTAGATTTTACCCCAAAGTTTATGTTCTGCACTAAAAGGTGCCCTGTTAACAGAGAAGTACTGAAAATATTTGCTACTTACCACTAAGTTTTAATACATTACCCAACAAATGCAAAAGTTAACATAAAAATGAAGTAAAAAATAGGAATTCAACCCAATTATTTAAACAAATTACTATTTCATTACCTGAGCTACACATATTACTAAAAAGTGAACAACAAAATTTTATATTACAGTGTTAAACAGCATAGATGGACAGCATTTTATACATAAAAACTTTATATCATGTAATCTCACATAAAGCTTTTTTTATGGCACATTAATATCAGATTTTGAAATGCCAATGTAACAGTCTTTGAGAATGTTTTAATTGCCATTTCAGGACTTTGTAATGCCACAACTAATGACCGATAATTGTAACATATAAAATGTATTCCATTTCATTGGCTTCATATGAAAGTTAATTTCTTAAATATTTTTCAATTACAAATAAAATGTACTAATCAAACAATGTAAAGCATGCTAATCAAGCAATTTACAGTGCAAGAAAAATGTAACATTATATATCACTTTTCGAATGTAATGCACATGTAAAAAAAAGAGGGGCATGTTGAGTTTTATCACAATTCAGAAAATACCATAACAATTCCAGAATAACTGAAATTAGGAAAATAAAATTCTGCTGAAATAATGTAAAAATTTAAACAATATAAGAATCCACAAGTACACACTATTAAAGGGGGATAAATGCTTACATATTCACATATGTGCCCTTAATATCTATACGAAATGAACTTCACATAAATATATTTTTTAATCTCATAAATGGTATTTTACTTAATGGAAGATAACACACTAGAAAATTTTAAAACATTAATGACTGCAATATAATCTCAACTAGAAACTGTTTTTGTACTTATATAAACAAAAATATTTACACACACACAGTAATGACCTACCTGTGAATTAACTATAAAAATGAAGATCATCTTTCTTGGCACAAATAACAGTAAATAATATCACAAAATAATAAAATAAATTCTATTTATGATATATGAATACTTGTTTTTTTAATCTCAGTGAAGTATATTTTTAAATAGGTTATCTAAAAATAATACAAAGCACATTTAAACATGTGCATAGGTCTAAAATATATGTTGCAAAATGCAACAATATTAAGAAATACTTCCAAGTTCATAATAAGGCTTCTTGTTAGGAAATACTGCAAAAAGACACAGCTGAGAAAGAGAAAGCAGGGCTCCAAGAAAATTCGGTACCTGTAATAGAAGGTAAAATATATACTTTTATATGGCAAAAGTAGATAATTTGATTCAAGGTAATGAAACATTATTATGTTTAGGTACAAATATACAGTAAAATATTGCTACATATATTTTGTTCATTTTGCTGTAAAAAAAATTAGACCCTCCCATCAATATGATAAATAATCAAAGGGAATAACGATTTACTTCTACAAAATTTCTTTTGAAAACTAAGTATACCATAAAAACTCAACACCATCCAGAGTTAAAAATAATTTAATTAGCAAATCTAATATTACCACCACCAGCTTCTGCTACCAAAATAACTGTTATTCCTATGCATTGCAGAAATACTTTGAATGACAGTTCTAGCTGCTATCCTGAACTTCTGGAACTTGTGCAAATCATGACTGTACTCTGAACATATGATTGCCAAACATTATTATGTGCACTGAGACAAAACATTATGATTGCCTACTCAATAACATGTTGCATGACCTTTGGCCTACAGCGATCACACAAAGCCAAGATATTCTGAAATGGTTGTGTCTGAGCTACCGTTCCATCCCAAATGTACTCTATCGAGTTAAGATCTGGCGTGTTAGGTGGCACTGTATGGGGGGAAAAAGATGATAATTTTTATCTCTAGGCGCACAATATTGTGTATCGGATTTGCGATATTGCCGTTGAATTGAATTTTATGGTTTAAGTGCAAAGAACATGATATTTAATAAATAAAGGTAACACACAAAACATTAAAAAAGTCCTTTTAGGCGTAATATAAAATCTGAAGGCATTCAGATTTTTTAAAATTTTGTATTTATTCATTTTAAATTTTGTATGTTATATTCACTTTGCTATGAATAATTCCACGAATGAAATTGAGTATGAAATTCTTTATGATACATTTGCTTTGCTAACGACAATCTTCAAATTACTCTGGGGTAGGCCATCTTCAGATTAGGCACCTAGCTGTGATGTCTTTGAATAACACATCAAACCCTGACAGTATATAAGTCTTGGGAAGTGATTCAAAAGTGACATATTAAACAAAGTGATTTCTAAAATAAGGAATACATTTAAACTGATTTTAAAATTATTACATCAAAATCTAATTTTAATTAAAAAATACAGTTTATTTATCAAATATTATTTTTATTTTAAAATACCCACTGATTTGATTGCACAAATGATTTTTTAAAAGATTTCCAAAGACTGGAAATTTTCTTTCTAAATTACCAAATTTAAGTACCTCCAATGTCTAACAAAATTTAATGTCTGATTTCTTTCCACCTATAAATTCTGCACTGCATTTGAAACTCAATTTTTAGCACGAATAGAGTTTAAAGAAATCCTTGGGTGCTTAAATCTTTTTTAGTAATGACATTTTTTTACATTTACCTTAAGGCTTTCTTATCAATGTTATATTCTTATTATCAATGTTATATACATTTCAATGTTATATTCACACTAAAGCTGCTTAAAATTTTGACTAAACTGAATGTGAGACTGATTTCATTTATTTTAAATATGACAATGTACTCAAAGGCTATTTGCCTAAGTAGAGGGATAAGTGGAGGACTTTTTAAGGGAAACTGACTGGTTTGTATACACATTACACATGAGAAAAACCATGAAAATGCTCATGCAGGCAGCCCGTTCCCCAGGATTAAAACCCCAGACCGAACTATTTTCGTGTTTCTTGACATAGAATAAAGTATAATCAAATACCGAGATTAAAAAAAAAAAAAAAAAGCAGAGGGGGATGATTTAACTAAATAATAATAATATTGCGTGCATATGGGTTCGTAATAGATTGAATGCACTAGTCCAACAAAAGGTTAATAAAATTCCTTCTTATCAAAAGAAATATAACAGAATGCTGGAATTTTACTCACAGATATTCATATAAGTGTTCACAATATGACACAGTAATAATCAGTAGTTATAATTCAATACTGAAAACGTTAGACTACAACGGAACGGAAAGAGAAAACTAATCCAATCTCACGCTGAACTTGGATAAAAATAACACAACAGCTAACTAAACAATTGAGATGAGATGTTCTCTGCCTGGCTTTCTATATCTTTAAATCAATCATGAGAGATTCTAGTAAATTCTGCTTCTCGAGATTTCTGGAAAGTAAGAGAACAGAATTACGGTTACAGCTAACAATTACGTTTATACGGTCAATAATGTTTATACAAATTAAATATAAATTACCAAGATAAACTTTTATTCAACGTTAAATACAAGCACTGCAGTATTTTTACTTTTCCTGTATAGCTCTTAAAACTAGTCTTGCGCTGCATTGCACGGGGAAATAAAGCAATTTTAATTGTATTTCTACTAACATTAGCTATCAAAATACAAAACTCGTAATAATAGTAATAAAAACTTACTTGCACAAACTTGTCATTTACTAAAATTCCATAACAAAGCCATAGAGTGGCCATAGCAAAAGTAGATAGAATCATTGCAAATGGAAGAGTCTCAACTGTTTTAGTTCTCAAGACATGTGCCTAAAAGTATCAGTGAAAGTTTACTAAAAATTATACTATTACGTAAATTACGATTACAAATAGAAAACTTTGAATAAATCAAATGTCAAACTTAAACAATTACAACAAGTGAAATCTTTAATAATATACATTATTGATTACAATTAATAATAATTAATATTAATAATTACAATAATATACATTATTTATAATTAATAATATACAATATTGATTACCTATAACTCATAAACCCATTATCTGCCCAATGGTGGTATAAGAGATTATAACCACTTTTGGGTCTTAAAATGACTTTTAGCTTAAACATTTTGTCCCAGCTACACATGACTACAGGAGACCTTTAAAACAATGCACTTTGCATGTTACCTCTAGGAAATACACAAACTAAGTCTAAATGTTAAGAAGTACTATAACATTATTTTAAATCACAATTGCTAAAGGCTGTGATGATGTTAAAAAAATAATATAAACTTTTCCATCCCGAAGTAAAAAAGAAAAAGTAGCACACAGGAAAAAAATTATGCACAGTAACTCTTAATAGATTTGTAATTTACTGTATGTAATAAAGTGTAATTTATTTTGCATAAAACACAATAAAATACAAAATGCATAAAAATCTACTTTTTCACAATTTACATTAAAGTTTCTACGCAAAAACAAGCAATTTGGCCAGAGGCCAAGAAAGCAGATTTTTTTGGTGCACAAAACTGAAAGTTTACTTTTGGTCCCACTTTGTAAGGATCTTAAGTTTTACAAACGTTTATTTTACGTTAAATCTTTACTATCACTTCTTATTTTCTACTTCCGGCCACAATTAAAAGCTTTAACTTATTTGTGCAAATTTGTCTTGCTAATGTCAAGTACTTAAGTTGTGGCTTTTTGCCAAGCAAGAGAGAGGAGGAGCTATTAGAAGCAGGCCGCTTGCCATAGTAGTTTTACTCGGTTGCTGGTTGCCTTCAAGGCCAGAGGTTTAATCCTCTTGATAATTTTAAACGTATCGTAGTGTTAGCAGTTCTCTGTACTACATACGGCTTTTTGCTAATATACGGCCAATCTTGGAGTAGGCACTTGTTTGATTAATCCAAAGTTTAGTTAGAGTTTAGTTAATATTTTTATATTCTTACGTTCAGACCACAAGTGGTTGGTCTCTGTATTCCGAAGTCCGGAAATCATTGTAAAGAGAGAAAAATAAAGGGTTTCGTATACCCTTCCTGTGTGTATTGTCTACTTCCCAAATTTATTGAACATAGCTTTAGTAAGCTCCCTGTTCCGAGTCAGGACAGTCAATGTTCCCTAAGCAAGTAAGGAGGAACACAGAACCTGATAACTTGGCAAAAAGATACTGAATGTGCAGAAACTTACTTAATTCACTATTCTGCCAAGTTTGAAATGTAAACAAATGGTAAAAAATTAAGTTTAGCTGCTATGGTAAAAAATTAAGCTTAGGCACACTTAAACAACTTTTAAATTGTTGATAGTTCTACAACTACCACATGCAGTAAGAAGGCATAAAACTATTATAAATGCATAAAAACCTTAACCGGAAGGTAACAGCAACATAATTCAATCATTTTTAAAGCAAAAATTGCACAATTTACCGACATATAAAAATTTTAAAAAAATTCAGCACACGGAGGCAACAGAATGTGTGTGTGTGTGCATACATACACACACATATATAAATGTATATATGTATACACTTATATATGTGTAATATATAAAACTTATAATGTGTGTGTATATGTGTAAATATATACACACACACATTATAAATTTATATATGTACAGTAAAAAGTCTTTAATCCGGACGTCCATAATCTGGAATAATCTAAAATCCGGACCTCAAAGCGACAAACTTACTGCACATGCGTAAACACATAATGTATTTACGCATGCGCGTTTAATGTATAACGGACGGTATAAGCTAAGCTAAAATTAAATTATGAAATTACCTATTTCAGTTAATGTTGCAGATATCGTTGTTTCTTAATCTTCTAATTGGATCTGGCTTATTACTTTTTGCAGATTGTTAGAGCAATTTTATAAAAGTAATAACTTTTGGTTATGTCAAAAAGAATTTTCGATTCTGGAGCTGCCAAAGGATCTACAAAACGAAAGCATGTTTCGATGTCCGTCAAACAAAAAGTGGAATTGCTGCAAAAAATGGATAAGGCATATCCTTTGTTTCTCTAACCATTCCGAAATCTGTTTATCAATTTCACGCTGCTCTGTGTGAGGAGGGGGGGGGATGTAGCGGGGCGCAATGAACTGGAAGTTGATCTGTCTGAACTATCCTTATCTTCAGGGCAGATGTTTTTATTTTAGTCGGCTTATAATTCCTTACTAAATGTAGTATTTCATCTTGATGTACTCTGTATTTGATATGATATAAATCAAATTCCTTGTCATTAAAAATATCACAAATACACATCAAATAGTTTTCTGGTTGCAATTTTCTAATTTTGACTATGTGTAATGTATGCTTTACGCATGTTGAAAGAAATGTTTAATAAATAAAACAAATAAATATTAAGCTTTTTTTTGTAATTTTTGATAAATTTTAGATCATAATTGTTCTTTATTTCATAAATTATGGTTTCACATTTTTAATTTTATAATTTCTGCATGCCATCTTACCAGATTTAAACTGATTATCAATCTGGAAAAACCGATAATCTGGAATCGCCGAAGTCCCGACGAGTCTGACTTTTGACTGTATATATTTATATACTTTTGGTGCGGCTAATTGCAACCAAAAAAGGAGGTGCACAACTACACGTTATAACAGTCCTATATACAAAATCTCAACATTCTGAGGTTACTCATTTTCGAGTTATGAGAGTCACATACATATATATAGATGTCACGAAAAAGTCTCTTCTGAATCCATTTTACATTCATTCACAATCCGCTTGTCATTGTTTAGAGATGTCATGCAAAAACATCATTAAATTGTATTTGAAAGCAGTCAAAATGGATATTTTCGTTGAAATACGATACCTGAACATTTTTGCGATTACAATACTTCCTTTACTTTATGAAAAAAAGTAAAAACTGTGGCAACTTGGCAGGCACAAAGTGCACATGAGAAGTAAACATGAACTTTGTGTTTAAAAAATGGTCGCTGTAATAAATAATAAGGAAGTACTGGAATTAAACTGGCTCAGCATTTTCAAATATTAATTCGCCATGTTGTAGAGACATTAGGATTATTTTGAAAGCATGAAAGATGAAAAATGAGAAATGCTCTCGCCGGAACTCAAACCACAGATCTCTTGAACACACGCTAAAAGTGCTGACCATTACACCATGAAGACATTATAAGAAAGCTAGAGAAATACCTTATATACTCCCCCCCTTTTAAAGCACGACTGGGGATTAGGGGACCCAACCGCCAAATCCTGGTGGTGGAGAATTATCATCCACCACCTTTATTACTTCAGGCACCACTGTACAGAAATTAGGTTATTTCGAAGCAGAAGAGATGGAAAATGAGCAGTGCCCTCGCCAGGACTCGAACCACAGACCTCTCGAATACACTCTGAGCGTGCTGACCATTACATCATGAAGGCATGCTAAGAAGGTGGGAAAATACTTTATAATCCTTTTATGAATAAAAATTTTAAACTTGCAAAGCATTAAAAATTCTTCAAATGTTCAAGCTTTGAGAAAGTTATTTGACAAGCTCGATATCACTACATGAAATTTAGATTCAAAAGCCTATGGTTTAATAATTTCCATCGTCTGAAATTAATGTTACTTTGTGTTCATTTCAATTGTCTTAAATTTACTGTCAGAGAAAATCTTGTTTTAATTTTAAGAGACACAAAATCAGAATGTAATGTTAAGGTTTCTCATCTTTTGTCTTTGTTAAAATGCAATGTTAAATGTTGAGAATCTACATTTTTAGTTTCACGTGACAGAAAAGTTTTCTCAAGAACCTCAACTGAAGTTTGTCAGAGGCTACTCCATGACAACAGTATGTGGAAGTACCTAGCCTCTAATCTGTTTTGTTACTAATTTTCAAATCTTTATAACTCATAAGCCCATTACCAGCCCAATGGTGGTATTTTGACATAAATTCAAATCTCAGCAAATATGCTAATTCCTTGGAAGTTTCAGGGTTTTGCTCCTGTGTATGAGATGAGCCAATTACAGTTATTTAGAAAGACTTCCAAAAGCACCACTTCCTTTTGATAGATAGATTTACATGCTTCACCAATAGTCCAATTACCTATTAATACCTATAATCATTTAACCAATAATTATAATTTATAAACTACATGTTTCCCATTATACCGGGTGGTTATAATTAAACTTCCCCTATAAACGGCATCCTACAGCACAAATGGGTGAACAGAATGCAACGAAATTTTGTATATGGGCTATACACGAGATGCGCTCATGGAATTTCGGAAAAAAATTTTAGTTTCAAAATGTCCACCAGAACGCACCTTTTCAGGAAAAACAGGAAATTTAACACAATAACCAAAACAGAATACAGAAACAATATTAACATTCATTGACTAGTTTCTGATGACCTTGCCATCGAACCTCATTAAGTAAAGGTAAGGTCTCTCACGAACTGCTGCAGAAGCATTTCCCTTGTTTTCATAAAACAACCTCACCAATAATGTACGTTCAGCTAAAGAGACCGTCATTAGTTACAGCCGGACACATCGGCTTCCTCTTCCTCTCAAGCACGCAAATCTCAACATTGTTTTTTCTACAACTGACAGCTTTTCCCGGTTTTGCATTTGATTATTCACAATTCTTGTTCTGGATTGTTAATATTGTTTCTGTATTCCGTTTTGGTCATTTATGGTGTTAAATTTAATTTTTTTCCTGAAAAGGCACCCTCTGGGGGACATTTTGGAACTAAAATTAATTTTTCGAAATTCCGTGAGCACATCTCGTCTGTAGCCTATATACAAAATTTTGTTGCATTCCGTTCACCCATTTGATCTGTAGGATGCCATTTATAGGGGAAGTTTAATTCTAAC